CCTCCTCCTCCTCGGCGGCTTCCTGCTCGTCCTCCTCGCCCCCTCTCCCCCACGACTTCCCCAATGAAGCACTCCCCCCTGTTGCACATCTAGACGTGGGCGTTTCGCCTGAGAAGCCCACACCCTTTTTGATCCTGTTAATTTACAACAACTTCACGGATGGAGGGCGGGCCGTGTTTTTTGTATATTGTTTTCGCCATAGCGCCACGAACATTCGTCTTGAAAATGTACAGCAGCTTTGCTGATGGAGGGCGGGCCGTTTTCAAAAGATGGCTCTTGTCTTCGCGCCGCACACTTGCCGCGCACATTCGTAAAACAAACAAATGAAAGGCGGACCGTTTTCAAAATGTGCCGATCCGGCGTATGAGTTTCTGAGAGCGTGAACTTGAGCTCGCTCGAGCTTCGCTCTGCAAGGGGGGGGAGGGGGGACTCCATTCCCGACGCATTCAGTGCTCGGGGGCAGGGGGGCCCACACCATTACGGGGAGGGGGGGGGGACGCCATTCCCGACGCAATTAGTGCTCGGGGGCGGGGGGGCCCACACCATCCCAGACGCCGTTCCGACGCTCTGACCATGGAAGGTGGGGGGGGCGACGCCATTCCAAACGCCATTCCCTACGCATGTCGTGATCGCAAGACGCCTCCAAGACGCCCCCATAGGTATACAACCACCTGCGAAGAGAGACCCACGAGGTCTCAATCGTCCAATTCCCATCGAGAAACGTACATTTTCACCCTATACGACATGTCAGCCTTCACGACGTTGCCGACGGTCCCAGAGGCCCCGAGACAGCGTCAAGACGGCTCAAGAGGCTCCCAAGACGACCCCAAAGCGGCACGAGAGGGCGCCAAGACGGCCCAAGAAGCGCCCAAGCCGGCCCAAGAAGGCTCCAATACGGCCCCAGGATAGGCCCAAGAGGGGGAGCCCGAACCGACAATCCCAGCCTTTCCGCTCACGAGTTTCTCAAGAGGCTCCAAGAAGCCCCCCAAAGGCCCCAACAGGTCCCCAAGAAGCCCCAAGGAGGCCCCAGAAGGCCCCCAAGAGGCCCGAAAGAGGCCCGAAAGAGGCCCCGAAACGACTCCCAAGAGGCTTCCCTAGGTCCATTGCTCAATCCCCTGGGCCTCAGTCCTCAAGCCTGGAGAGTCTTACTGGGCCCGGACCCCAAGCTCTCAAATCTCTTGGAGCTCCCCGCGCGCCCTCTTGGGCTCCCAGAATGTTCCCGCATTGCTTTTTCGCGCCCAAGAGAGGCCTAAGACGGGCCAACAGGGCCCCAAGAGGCCATCAAGACGGCCCGAGAAAGCTCCCAATCACAGACGAATCGGTTCAAGACGCTAAAGTTGCCACAAGACGGCCCGACAAGCTTCCGAGACGCCCCACGAGCCCCACGAGCCTTCCCAAGAGGGCCCTGAGAGGCAAAAATCATCGATTTCCTCTGAAGTGAGTGTGTGTGTGTGTTTGTGTGTGTGCGTGTGTGTGAATGTGTGTGTGTGTGAATGTGTGTGTGAATGTGTGTGTGAATGTGTGTGTGTGTGTGTTTGTGTGAATGTGTGTGTGTGTGTGGTTACGTGTGTGGGGGGAAGGAAGGTTCTCTCCTTTTCAAACTTCTGACGCTCCCTGCTCTCACTTGTACGTCCTCCCGTCCGCACCCTTGAGAATTCACATCATCAACATCAACACCACTGTCATCAGTATCAGCATCATTGTGGGCACACCGCTATCATCATCCCAACCACAATCACCACCAGCACCACTATCCTGATTATCGTTGTCGTCATCACCATCTGCATGCTCTTCACCATGGTCATCACCATGATAAACATCATCAGCAGCAGCAGCAGCAGCTTCAACATCATCATCATCATCATCAGCATCATCATCATCATCATCATCATCATCATCATCATCATCATCATCGTCGTCATCGTCATCATCAACATCAACATCAACAGCACCACCACCACCACCACCACCACCATCATCATCATCGTCAGCATCATCATTATCATCATCATCATCAGAGTCATCAGAGTCATCATCATCATCATCATCATCATCATCATCATCATCATCATCATTCTTCGGAGCGCCCTGGACAGGCTGCACTGGCTGGATGCCAGCACAATGTTGTTATCGCCTTCGTGCCGATCATATTCGTTTAAAAGGTCGCAACAAATTCACGTATGGAGGACGCGTCGTTTTCAACATGTGTTCCTTGCGGTTGCGCCGCGCGCATTCGGCTTAAAAGTTTGGAGAGTTGCAGATATTAGTATGTCCGAGGTCAAAGAAATTCTGTTCTGACGCGATGTAGGACTACCAGGACGTGTCATTCACGTTGATGCGCGGCGTTGAGGTCCCAAGAATTGTGTCCTGGCACAGTTTAGGATTGCAAAGACGCAACGCGCACGTTGATCCGCGGCGCTGATCTCCCAAGAACGGTGTCCTGGCACGATGGCGAATTCTCAGATGGTTGTCCTGCAATGGGCCACTTCCCGCAATGATGAACAATTCTTGTAGTGGCTTATAGAGAACGAGCTCTGACGGAGAACGTGTTGCAACAACGATGATGCGTCTCGGGTTTGCACTTGTCCCCCCCTCCTCCTCCGCCCCCTCCTCCGTGCGTCTTCTTCCCCCGCCCTCCTCCCCCTCCGTAGCCATTGTGGCTCAAAACTGTGAGTCCCACGGGTGAACAAAAATTCATGCCGCTGGTCCGCGGCCAATCTTCATTCGGTTCAGTTCGCCCCCGGCGCCACTCCGCACTGCGCAGCGATGGAGGGAGCTTCGGGACGGATGGCGAGGCAGGACTAGTTCTGTCGCAATGGCGCACTGGGTCTCCCGCACAAGGCCCCGCACAAGACTCCTGAGGAAACTCCTTGTGTTAAAAAAAACTGCCCCGCTCGACACCTGCTTCCTGGCGGCGGGGACCCTCGGAGGCCGAAGCTCCTCCAACACGTGTTCCTCCTCTGACCCCCCCCCGACTCTGGCAAAAAACCAGATGCGCGGGTCGATGGGGCGCTTGGTGGTTGGCGCTCCCTGTTTCGGCCCCCAGGGGTGTAAACTCATTCCACAGGACCAGGTGCTCAGCCCCAGTCGTTTGTTGACGGTCCCGAGGCCCACAAACGAGGCCCCAGAGGCGGAAACCTGATGTTGCCACGAACCCAGACCCTAGAAGAAAAGTGGGCGTGACGTGCGAGGAAGACGGCGCATAATGCTGACTCCCGTGTTGTTGGTTTGACGCCGTGCCGCTTTAGGGAGCATTATGCTGGTTGCCGTGGTGTCCGTTTGACGCTGTGCCACTTTGTCGAGGCGTCTCCGACCGTCTTGGAGACCTGTTGTGCAGTCTTCGGGCCCTGGGGCGTTTCCGACCATCTCGGGGACCTTGAGGCAGTCTTGGGGACCTTTTGGGGGCCTCTCGGGACTTCCTGGGGACCTCTTGGAAGCTTATTGGGGCCTCTTGGGGCCTCCTGGGGGGTTCTTTGAGCGGAGGAGAGCCCAAAATATCGGTCCCTGCCCCCCCCCCCCTCTGGGGCCCCTCTTGGGACGTTCCTTGAGCCTTCTAGAACCGTCTCGGAGGCCTCTTGGGCCATCTTGGGCCGTCTGGGCGCTCTCTTGGGGGTCTCCTGGGGGCCTCTGAAGCCGTCTTGGGGGGATCTTTCGGGCTTTTGGGGCCGTCTTGGAGCGTCGGGGAGCCGACAAGGCTCACGCGCGAAAAATCGATTAACAACCCACAAGAAATCTACGATTTCTGCCTCTCAGAGAGAGCCCTCTTGGAACCCTTCTGGGAAGCCTCACGTGGCGTTTTCGGGGCTGTCTGGGCCGTGAGGGAGCCATCTGGCATGGTCTGGACGGTTCCCCCCGGGGCCGCAGGCGACCCGAGGAGGGGAGGGCCAGAAAGGTGAGGAGGAGGAGGAGGAGGAGGAGGAGGAGGAGGAGGAGAGGGAGAGGAGAGGAGGAGGAAGGAGGAGGAGGAGTGAGGAGGAGAGGGGGAGGAGGAGAGGAGGGGGAGGAGGAGAGACGAGGAGGAGAAGATGAGGAGGAGAGGGTAGAGGGGGGAGGGAGGAGGAGGGGAGGATGAGGAGGTGAAGGAGGAGGGGGAGGGGGGAAGTAGTAGGAGGAAGAGGGGGAAGAGGAGGGAGGAGGAGGAGGAGGAGGAGGAGGAGGAGGAGGAGGAGGAGGAGGAGGAGGAGGAGGAGAGAGGAGGAGGACGGCTCGCCTGAGCCCTCCGGGGAAACCATCCAGGATATGGTCTGAGCCGATGCGTCGGCGACTCGTGGCCCTCTTCTTCGACCATCTTGCGGACCATCTTGGGGCTGCCAGTGCCGCCAGGAGGCGCGTCTGCCCGACTGCGGCCGACTTCCGCCCGCCTCCGGCGGCGTTCCACCCGTGGCCGGGGCCAGCTCTCGCGGTGCACCCCGCCAGACCCCATCCAGGGGAACGCGTAACGGGAACCCCTCCCCTCAAGGTCGGGGAAACATACAGTCGGGGCCTTGACCTAAGGAACCCTAAATAAGGAACGAGGCCCCTTTTTTTCCACAAGTTAAACTTCGATTTCCGATCGAAAACATAAGAACAACCTGAGGCAAGCTGTGAAACACTTAAAGAACACGGAGCCCCTCCCCAACGAAAAGGGTTCCTTCTTCAGGGCTCCGACTGTAGCGGAAACCCTCTTGTCATGCTGGATGTGTAGGCAAAATGAAGCTATAATTCGGCCCACTTCCCTTCTGGGCGGCTAGACGACAATGCGCCGACGAGTGCATGAAAGGATCATGATGATGAGCATGTCTCAATGGGAGAGAGGAAGGCAGGAGGACCAGGCTCGGCCTGCGGTACCGAACCCACCATTCCACAAACATCGAAGCATCTTGAAGAGCAGCAGTGAGAGAAGAGGCGTTGAGCGTCGGCCCATTTTTAGCGGCCAGCACCGCAGCTAACGACAAGGTCATCTGTGCAAGTGCCATCTATGCTGTGAGACGTGGCAAAGCTCTTGCTGGCTATGAGAACAGTCACGCTGCCTGTGCAGAGCGGTCGGAAGGTGCCGCGGGCGCGGGGCCAATTCCTCCTCGTGCTATTTGAGACATGGCAAAGTAAAGGGACCTCTGATGCCCCGCCCTGGCATTGCTGGCCGAGCCACGCCAACGGCTACTCGAGCCCCAGAGCACCCAAGTCTTTCCGAGGATACCCCACGGCTTCTGGATGCTACCCTCACGCCGACATGTAACAGCTGTCTGGGCAAAATCTGGTCTCCATGAACTTCACACAAAAAGAGCTCCAACGACGGCAAGCTCCTGACAACGCCGGCCATTGTTTCTGACTGAGATCTGGCAACTACTCTGGAGGATGTATCGGTCGCCGCGGCCTTCTCAGAGCGTTCCGGATCTGAGGGGGACCGACCTGGAATCGGCGGTTCATCGCCGATAGACCAGCGATAGGCCCCCCCGAGCGCCCCCCAGAAGGCCGAGAGCGAAACCGAGCAGGCGAGGTGGGCCGGCGAGGTGCAGGGACGGCCTGAACTGTTTCTCGCGGTGCATCGCCGATAGAATGGCGACAGCCCCCCCCGAGCGCCCCCCCAAGGCCGAGAGCGAAACCGAGCAAGCGAGGTGCAGGGACGGCCTCTTGACCCTGGTGGGGGGCAGCGATCTGGGCGGGGCTGGCTCGGGCGGAGGTCGAAGAAGGTCAGAACTCCTGCTCCTCCTCCTCCTCCTCCTCCTCCTCCTCCTCCTCCTCCGCCACCTCTCCTCCTCCTCCCTCCCACCCCTCCTCCTCTTCCTCTTCCTCGTCCTCCTCCTCCCTCCCCCTCCTCCTTCCTCCCCCTCCCCCCTCCTCCTCACTCCTCCCTCCTCCTCCTCCTCCTCCCCTCCCTACCTTCTCCTCCTCCTCCTCATCCCTCCTCCTCCTCACTCCTCCTTCTCCACTGACCTTCGACGGTCTGCGCCGATTTCTTGGATCTGCCCCTGGCGCGCGGCGCCAGGAAAGGGGGGGGTCCAGTGCAGATCCAAGAAACCCGCGCGGACCGTCGAGAGTCCATCCCTTCGCGATTTCTTTTCTTCCTCCAGGATCGGGGAGACGTAGGACTCGGGTTTGGGGGACTCGGGCTGGCCTGACGGGCCCATCATGAAAATGACGAGGCCCGGTCTAAAATTTGACGCGATCTCCCGCTGCAAACATGCCACGAAAACTGGACACTCAGAATCCAGGACGCGCTCGTCAACAAGCATCGGCAAACCCGAGTCCTGGCGTACTCCAGTCTTACGTTTGGGTCGGGCACGTCCTCCTACAAGCGGACTTTGAACGAAAAATCATCAGTAGTCAACACAATGATCAAAAATTGTCAGACAGGGTAGAAATATCCTACCCAGACTATCTTCTTCCAATGTTTGTATATTCCTCCTGTAGGGGGACATGCCCGACTTGATCTCACGCTTTCCCGCCAGGAGGGGGCGTCGACCCGGAATCGGCGACGGCCCCCCCCCCCCCCGATGGCGACCCCGCGCGGTCCAGGGCGGGGTGGACCGTGAGCCCCTCCTCGACGATCGGAGGGGCGGCTGCTGAGCCGCAACAAGAAGGACCCCTGATCCTTCTTTTTTGTTTTTTGTTTCTTCCGCAAGGCAAACCTTCGACGTACGCCTGAAGTGAAAGACTCCGCTGTGATACGAAATCTCCTTGAAACGTATCGGCTCCACCTGTGAGGAAAAAGAGTGACAGGAGGAGGAGGAGGAGGAGGAGGAGGAGGAGGAGAAGGAGGAGGAGGAGGAAGGACAAGAGGGACCCCTGATCCTTCTCTGGGGCGGGGGCGCAAGCCAAAAGCACTGGCCACGGCGCCTCCGACCGTCACGTTTTCGCGGGCCCCGGCCCTGCCGCAGTCTGGCGCGAAGCTGTCGTGCGCGTGATGTGCCTCCGTGCGCGCTGGCCAGCCTCCAAGGGCAGACTGGGGCCAAACTGCACTAGATTACATTGGCGTGTGAGCTTGCTGCATGTAGCCTTCGACGCTCGATGTCGACGCGTAGCGGTCAAGAGCACCACAGACACGAGGGGCAGGGGGGCCGGCCTTCTCTGCAGACGTGCCACGCCGAACCGAAGGCGAGGACCTTCTTAGGCGAGGCCGCGTCTTCGCTGTTTGTTATTCGGCTTGTAGGGGCTCTTTTCCTTCATCCTCGATGATCCTCGACGGTGAACGGGCGATTGTGGGCCGATGCGTCTTCCGCTGGGCCCGCCCCCCACCCCCCGACGTTGCCCCTGACTTGGACACCCGCGCCGGTGGAGGAGCGGGCCTCTCCCTGCCACCAGAGAGCACTGCGGGAGCGGCGCGGTCCTCTCCGTAGAGAACGAGGGAGCGCTATCCAGTCCGGTCAGAAGGCCATTGGCTGGGACGTCGCAGGGGATATGCCGACCCCTATCCCAAGCTTCGGGAGGTCTTCGAATGGACCAAAGATTTGGGACCCAACCCCGGGATATGTACGATGGGGCGGGGCGTCTATCATCCATGAGAGGGGTGAGTCCGAATAGCCTCCTTGGGGTGTATCCCAAGGTTTCCACCTTCTTTTGGAGCGGCCAAACTTTCCGGGCGGAACTTGGGCCTTGGGGACTGGGGGAGAACAACCACCTGTGACAAAAGAGGTTTGTGTGGGTCTGGCCCAGAAAGCCCAATGATTAACCGGAAAGAACAAGAGTGGGCGGATCGACATGGGAATCTGCCGATCAGGCGGGATTCCGACCACGGGTGTACCAGCGCCGATACTGAATTTGACCTCACAGAAGATGGAACCAACCGCAGCGTGGACCCCTGAAGGTCTCGACCTCAGACCCACGACGTCGTGATCTTCTCATGACGTGACCCTTAGACGTCTGGACCCCTTCTCGGGAACCGGTGCCTAGGCCCCTGGAGGCAGAAGGTAGCGAAACCCCCCCCGTCGTGAATGGCTTCATGACCCGAGGGGGTCTGGGTCCTCCTGGCTCCTCCTGCTCCTCCTCCTTGCCCTCTCCCTCCTCGTCCGACGCCGAGAGGGCGGCGCTCCCTCCCTCCCCGAAAAGGCGACGCCCCACCCCCTCCCGTCGCGAACTTCTTGTCATGACCCGAGGGGGTCTGGGACCCCCTCCCCGCGGCTGCGTGCTTCGTCCTGGGCGGTGCACGTCGTCGGCCCCCGGGGGGCCGCCTCCGAGAGGCCATGGCATATCGGCAGTGCGTGCCCGGCGGGAGCGGCGCCGACCGGCCGAGGCGCATATTCCGTGGCACGTGCACATCTTGCCGCTGCAGTGCCCACCCACTAGGGGATCGAGATCTCCTCCTCCTCCTCCTCCTCCTCCTCCTCCTACCTCTTCTCCTCATCCTCCTACCTCCTCCTCCTCCTTCCTCCGCCTCCTCTCCACCTCATCCTCCTCCTCTCCCTCCCTCCCTTCCATCCCTCCCTCCTTCCCTCTCCTCCTCCCTCCTCCTCCTCCTCCCCTCCTCCTCCTCCTCCTCCTCCTCTCTCCTCATCCTCCTCCTAATTCCTTCCTCCGCCTCCTCCTCCTTCCACCTCCTCCTCATCCTCCTCCTCTCATATCCTATTCCCTTCCTCCTCCCCCCCCATTCCCTCCTCCTCACTTCCTCCCTCCCCTCTCCTGCCTCTCTCTCCTTCCCTCTCTCCCTCTCCCTACCTCAATCCCTCCCTCTCCCCCTCCCTTCCTCCCCCTCCCCCCTCCCCCCTCCCTCCATCCCTCCCCTCCTCTCCCTCCCTCGCTCCCTCCTTTCCTCCCTCCTCCTCCTCCTCCGCCTCCTCCTCCTCCTCCTTCCTCCCTCCTGCCTCCTCCCTCCTCCCTCCTCCCTCATCCGTCCGATCCTCAGCAGGGGATGGCCATGGACATGCATGCATTCTAGCCCTTCAGGGGGGGGGATATCCATACCCACCGCCTGCCGAGGTCCCCAGAGTTCCATCCTCCAGGCGGTGGCTACAGTAGGAGCTCGACCATAAGAAGCCTTCCACAAGAAACCCTACCCTGAGACCCGAGGATGTCCATTGATATTTTCGGCGTTGGAGCGTCACGCTTTCCATCGCAAGACCATCGAAATCCAAGAAAAAAAACAAGGGCATCCTGGAGGCAAGCAGGGTGTGTCTTGGCATGGTTTTCCTTTTTGGGGCCTCGTGGGAGACCCTCGTCGTCACCGCTGGATTCGCCCCGACATCCTGGCCAGAACGCACCCCGGGAGAGGTCCAGGGAGTAGCGGCATCGGTACCTTTTTGGCTTCCCCAAGTACCATGCTCACGTCAGCGTCTGCATCGAGGATGAAGCCATGAGCAAACAGATCCACGGCCCCCAGGTCCGGCAAGTCCTGAGATTGGATGTTGTAAAAAATTGCCACAACTTAGAAATCACCACCGGAGCCCCAGACCCTACCTTTTTGCTCCATTTTTTACGCCGGATCGATCCTGGAGGGCCCCAGGGCCCGAAATCGAGCGGAAGCGCCCGCAGCGAGAAAATGGCAACGCCAGGATCTCAGGGAGTGCCCCACGGGGTGCCAGCAGCTGCCCACACGCCGTCCGCCGCCCTTTCTCGTTCAGGCGCGGCGTGCTGGGGTTAGGTCGGGCATGTCCTCCCAGAGTCGGAGTTTGGGCGAAAAATAAGGAATAGTCAACACGTACAAGAAATATCCAAACAAAAATCGTCCCCATACTATCTTGTGACTATTTTTGAATACTCCTCCCGTAGAGGCACATGTCCGACTTCATAGACTTGGGGGGGCAATCAATGGTAGGGGTGAAGAGAAGGGACACCTTTCGTGCACCTGCGGGGCCCCTTTGGGGCGCCTTCTCTGCAACCCTCGCCCTCCCTCCCCGCAATTGGTACTGCCGCGTGCGTGACCGCCGCAAATTCGATTTGGCGACGGTGCCGCCTCAAACTGCGCTGGAAGCGGCATATTCGAACTGGTGCTATTCATTTTGGCGACGGCGCCTTCGGTGAACCACTAAGTGTCCTCAGTGCACCATCGAGACTTAGCAATGCGCTGGCAAGCCAAGAATCGCTCGCC